GAGGTTCGCGATGTTTACACGAGCCTGGCGTCTTGAACCTTAGTTTAAATTACCTTTACCTCGATCTTACCCTCACTACATCTCCACTTCGTCTGGGGCACGTAATAAAAAAGACAAATTTGTTAAAAAAATCATAAATATCAATTAACAGCGAAAAAAAGGTTGGAACCAGCCTATTGACAGCGGAAACAGCGCACTGTTTATGGTGCCACTCATAATACCCGTAAAGCATTAAGATAATGCCTAAAGGCACTGCTTAAAGATACCCTGTAATCATTACCTGGAAAATTAAAAATTTTTAAGTGGTTTGAAATAGGGGCTTCCAATGCAATTTTCATAAGAGTGCTTGGGAAATACATTTTACTTCTGGAATATCTTAATGTTGTTTAAATGAGGTGATTCTTTTATATTTTTGATAAGATCAATTTATGAAAAAATAATCGAATTTAAAAATTACCCCAACTTTTTTAATCTTTTATAACTTAGTTTAAGCTATGATATTGACTTGATTTACCTGTACATTGTACCAACCATATTAACCCTATGTCTTAACATTTTTTACAGGGTACGTAAATTAGTTTTAGCTATGATTTAAAGTGCTTTTCATGTACATTGTACCAACCATATTAACCCTATGCTTTAACATTTTTTACAGGGTACGAAAACTACTTTCGACTAAAGTCCAACACGGCATTCTTAGGTGATAACAGCTCCCAAAATTATTATTTTTCTGGGGTTATTATCGAATGTTTCGTGTTCTACTGGAGAGAGAGAAGCCAACATTTACTATATAGGAATTCTAATCACAGCTCATAATCCTTATCAATGGCAGCGCTGCCAGCGTCGTTAGTAGTATATTTTCTTCGGTTTGTTTAACTGAGAAATATTGTTTTTGTTGCCTCATTCAGGGTGGGTGGTAAGTGGGCGGTGGGGTGTGGTGGGTGGATCTTCGTCTTTTCACACCTTTCGGGGCATTGAATCCGAGCGGGGATCGTGAATCGACCCGTTATCATTGTTAACCGCTTTTGTTGCTGCATTTCATATTGTTATTATTGGTACGTGATCGGGTCTTTGTTTTGAAATTCATGTCCCAAACACAAAACCATTTTGTTGCCCCCTTTGCTAATATCGACTTATACGTGTTTCCTTACAAATACAGTGGACACTAGAAAAAGCAACTTTAAATAATTTCATAATGTATTTATTAGTTCATTTACTTTGTTTGTTAATTGTATACACTTTTATTATAAAAGTTAATGTAAATAATATTACAACTGTTCTATATAATATTTATAAATATATAATTTAAGTTGATATGTACATATTTTTTGATGTATTCTTGAAATATTCAAAAAAAATTAAGAATATTTACTTAAAATCAATTTTTCCATTATAATATATGTACATATTATGTGGGAATTTTTATATTGGTCCTAGGACTATATTCAAAAAATTGGATTTGCTTTTAATTTTATTAATTAATTTATGACTAGTTCATTTCTTTGATAAACCACTGTACCTTCACGTAAGAATTACTGTTTTATACAACTGCCATATAGTGTAGTCACAGGGCAAAGTCTTCATTCTTGATACGATTTGTTGTTGAAGCTCAAAGTAGTCGTCAACCCATTACTTTTTTTGTTGTTGTTTCTCTGTTTTCGATTTTGCTCAAGTATACGATTTGATTTTGTTATTGTTTTTACTTCTTTGTTACTAAGTTGCCGAGCTTATTAATTCATTCTTCCTGGCTTATATTGATACTGCTATTGGTGCTGCATCAGCTGGTTTATCGCGCTTCTGTTTTGCTACTGTTGATGAGCATTTGAATGCGTTTAAAAGATTCAGATATTTGTTAGGAGTGTCCAGGATCGATATCTGTCTTATTTGCTAAGAAATAACAAACGAGCGATTGATCAACTTACTTATATTGAAACCTACAGATGCAGTTGCCTGCATAAAGCGAATTGCACACAGTGGTTTAAGATGCAGAGGAAATCTTTATTAATATTTATAATAACTTAAATCTAAAAAAATTTAAATTAACATTTTTTAACCTATAAAAATACAATCAACCTTAATAGTGCTCTTAAAAGAGCGTAACTTATTAAAAAATTAGAGATTTATTGCTTTATAATATTTTTATGTAAGTCATTCAAATCAACTTGAAATACCATGATCACAATCCGTGGCTCTACTTTTTAAGAATGATTCGCGAGCTAACACCTAATCAAGGATGTATATTGCTTTGGGATAGCTTATCGCAAGAACTATTGAACACAAGTGCGAACGACTTATTAACCAGCCAAATAAATGGGCTAAAAATATTTATATATAGCCCTCTTAAAACTAATCGCAAGATATGCAGTGTATATTAATGATGTACATCATGCTTATATTCCATGGCTTCCGTTGATAAGTTAAAAATCCCCAGCTGAGAGGGCTTTTTTTCGTGTTTTCCTATTACCAGAGATAAGATCAAGATAGGGTACTACTAAGTTTGACATATGTTTAAAAAAATGAAGAAAGGTATACTGAATCGTCACTGTTTTATTTGAACTTTAAACATGTGGAGAAAATCTAGTACTTTGGCAGGTGAGTAACTGTAACAAGATTTCTTAAATAACCAAAGAAACACCTGCACAAAGTGCACTTTATTAATAGAGCATACCATTGATCAATGTCTTACAAAACACCATTTACTCAAACGGACGAAGTTCACCCACCCTGGCATACATTTAGCTGATTTCCCAGTTCGACTTTGATCCTCCAGTAATCGCTGACGTCGAAAGTGCTCTGAACGACAGTTTGCAGCTAAAGCCAACAAATGTGTGTCATCTGTGATGAAATATGAGCTTTGAGAAAATACTTACTTTGGAAAACCACTGATGAATAATCGCCAAATTGTTTTTGAAAATGGAGAAAAACTAAAAGTAAATCAATATTAAAATTTCCAAGTTTTTGCGATTCGTAAACACTTGAAAATATTTAAGTTGACCTATGGACTAGGTTGAGAGAACTATCTTAAGTTTCTGAGAATACTTTTGTAGCTGCCTGGTGAGGTCAGTTACAGTCCAAGTATATTCTTCTGTGATATATAATTTAAGGTAATTAACAATAGGCTTTAAGTTTTTACGATTACTATTTTGTTTTCTGTTTGCATTAAGTATTTTTGTTAGACAAAAGGAGGAATGCTTTTAATCTTAAACATTTTTGTTGTACTTGAAACCAAAAATTATTCATGACTCAAAAAAAATTTTAAAAACACATATACAAATATTTTTTAGGGAGATTTCCAAAACATACAAATAGAAAAATAAATCATATAGAATACAATTTCTAATGACCATATAAACTATACAATATTCATCGTGTATAAACATTGCGTATACGTAATGCATGCTATTCTGCTGATTTATCAACTGCGTATACGTAATATATAAAAACTTAAAAAATGACTATAAATAGTAATTATGTATTTTTAAGAATAATAGCCAAAAAAACATTTCTTTCATTTCTATTCACAAAGTATCTTAACGTATCCCGTTTATGTAATAACATTAGGTAATTAATCAACAACCTATTTGGTTCTCAATACGTGGTCATTATCTTTATAGCATTCCGTTTTTTCCCCAAATACTGCCATAATTTAGATAACTCGACAGCCAAAAAATGTTTAGTTTATCAGCTCCAAGACGCAACAATGATAATGAAATGGTCTGGATAAGAATATAAAACTGCAAGCATGGTCAAAAAAACACAAGAATCGGCCAAGAACAAATGCGATGAACTTCACCCGGTGGCCTTCACTTTGGCTAAAGAAAGTTGAGCACTCCAGTTTCGAGTGCTGAAATCAGCAAAACTCGAAGCACGTAATAGAGGCAAAAGTAAATGGAATTATTGAAGCGTGGTAAAGTTCGCCCCCCAGGGCTTCTGCCTTGGCTAATTGATAGATTAACACGATCTGATATTAGCTGATAAAAACAAGTTTATTGTTGCTCGACCGATTGTAAAAAAGGCAAGAAGTCGAAGCTTTTAAAGTTTAGAGGTTCATTTCCTTGGTTTAAAAAGCTGCGCTTTAAGCGACCAGCCAGTGTTAGAAAATTTTAAAAGTGGTATATTCATTTTACAAATCATACAAAGATTTTTACATTTTTCAAAAACAAAGTAAAATAAAAAAGTAAACAATTTAAATTATGTTCAAAATTGCGTTATGTAAAAATAAATATAAACTTTAGTGGGATATTATTATCACACACATATCGTCTCGATATTGATTCTTTTCACATCAAAAACATTATGGGGAACAGTAATTTGAATAGATTAAAAGTATACAGCAGACGTACTTAAAAGGATATCGAAAACATCGCAGTATTAATAGATATTATATTAAGAAAATTAAAAGTGAAGAAGCAAACGATTTTATTTTTTTTTTGCGTTGTACGAACTGTTTTTATTATGGAGGCTTACCAAATTAATTATAATATAAAAATATATTTTGTTTAGTAGTATAAAAGTTGGTTTTTACTTGAAGTCAGAAAAATAAACATGTATTTTATAGCTGAATATAATTTAAAAAATGTGTTTGGGTGTAAAAATATTTGCATTTAAAATTTTAATTTAAAATGAATCAATAAAAATTGTAAAAATAATTTGTTCTTAAATTAAGAAAATGTTAAGATAAATAGTTCTGTATAATTTCAAATGTAGTAAAATAAAATATAGACACTTTAAAACGATGTTTTGACTTTATTTTATAATATGAAGGCTTAAGAAGCCTTGTTTTTTTGTGCCACAACTGGGGGTTGGTTTCTTAAGGTAAAAGCTTATTGTTTGAGTTTTGTGGGTCTTAAATGAAGCTTTACGTAGTGCTGGGAAAGGCCTTCAGAGAGACAGAGAGAGCTTTTATTGTGCTCTCTATTTTTGTTTAAAATTGGCCATTGCCGTTTTTTTGTCAAGCTCGACTTGGCCAGTTAATTAATAACGAGAGCTCGAGAGCGCTTTCAACCTCAGAGTTGTTTTGACCGCGTTGCGATTTAGACGTCGCCGCATTTCTCGCTTTTATTCCGCCAAGATTCGCACCTGCATTTTCGCGTCCTGCCTGCAAAACAAAAAAATCGAACACACCCCCCACTAACTCCACCTCCTCTTCCGCTGCCTTTTTGGCCAATTGCAAAAGTTCGTCTACAGTGAAACGTGTAATCTCTAATTTTAACTTTGCCAAAAACAAAACAAATACTCCGTACTGTTTGAGCCGTATAATTTTGTGTGTATATTTTTGCGGTAAGTTGCGTTAACATTATGCTTCATAGAAAGCACATTTTGGGCACTTGCCTTTGTAGATTTGATTTTACTTTTGCCTTTGGGCAATGCGCATGCGCGGCTACGTTGACACACTTTCTGCCTCCACCTGGCTTACCGAGACTACCCAGCTTACCTGCCACAAGCAACTTACGGCTCTCATGCTTTTGGCCATAAAAACAATTACCACTTACCTTTTTTTGCTGCTGACGTTGACTGCATTTCGTCAGCGCGTGCGCTTCGATTCCGAAAAACCCCTCCCCATTGAACATCCATATCCCCGAGTACTACCCATTCATAATCTGATCTTCGGTAGCTGATAATATCTGTGTGGATAAGTAAAGTGGGAATTGCCTAAGGCAGATGAGCGGGCGGCTGGTATATTACACCATTTTCTGAGTGTGTGAAAATGTGTTGAGGAGGTGTTATGCTGTGGCAAGTGAAGTAGTTTCGAATGAGCCAAAATAATGGAACAAAATGGTTACAGTGTCGTTTGGGGTTAGGCATTTTGTGTACAGCTCAATTGTGCGACGGAGTTTGAGTGAGGTAATTTAAAACTATTTTAATGGTGTGAAGTTGGAGGGGCGGTACAACCTAATGAGTCATTACAAATATTTTTTAATGGTTTAAGTGCTGATAAAAATGAAATTCAATTTGCAAAAAAGGAGGTTGATACATTTTTATCTATTACAAGTAATTGAAAAAGTAATTGAAAAGAAGTACAATGAAAATATATAATATAAGAGTAAAAAAATATATATTTGCCTTACAATGTCTAAAGATCATTAAGATGAATTTAACAAATATTTATATTCTTAAAAAATTTGGGTGTACTTAAAATTAAAACTCTTTGAATACATGCTGACATCTGTCGTCTGCTATGTCGTCCTCTTTAACGTGGCTCTACTGTCACCTTCATAATGCATGCAAATGTAACACAATTGAAATGCAAATTGTCGCATCATGTGGCCGTCCCACTTGCACCCGGCATTGGTGGCTATCTTTCGTCCCGCTCCGTCTGACTTTAATTTTAGTTGATTCACGGGATCGATGGTCGCAGTTCATAAATATTTCAGGCGCCAATCAGCCGATCCAATGGGCAATTAAAGCATTTGCTCTAATGACACCAAAACATTGTCTGCTTTATAATAATATGCTCCGATTTATATAGCCTTTAGACGTGCTATTTGCTCAACTTGTTTAGACCACCCATGTACTTAAGCATTACAAAGTCCGCATAATTCTATATCTCGACACTATTAACGACCTTGTGGTTCTCAGTCGACAGGGGATTACAAAGAGTCACCAAAAAAATAAGTGAACTCAAAACCAGTTAAACATCTTTCCGTCGATCGTGTGTGTGTGTGGGCACGAAATTTGCTTAAACTGTTAACATTTTGTCAAGTGAAGGATAGGATACCAGAGACTTGCGAAAATATACAAAGAGCCGTTATTGAATCTGGAAATTTACATATTTCTGAACACAGAAGTGGCCATCGTACTTGGAACTGAAGGCGAATTTTTATAGCCGTACGATCGAGTCGGTTGATTTTGGCATTGTGAAAGAAATCGAAACCGGCTATTCCTGCTCCTCGAGAATCATTCGAGTCGAGTATTTATTTATCTTTTGACGAGCCGGTTCAGTGGGAGAGCCAAGAAATTCAGGTGCCGACTGGTAATGTTTAAGGCATACTTTAGTCTTATTTGTTTATTGTTGGCCCAGATCATGTTTTAGAAAAAATGTAGTTTTAGTTGCGCATAACATTGAATTGCAAAAATTTAAACTTTTGTATTTTCTTGGCTAATTAAATTTTTTTAAATTAATATTTATAAGCGGCTTATTTGAAATAATATTGCAAAAATTAGGTACAACTTTTAAATTAAAATATTATTGCAACCATTTCCCTGAATGTACTAACTAGACCATAAATTGTAAATAATAAATATTTATTTGTAGTTTCAATGTTAATGCTTTATAATAACACATAATTAGGTATTTACAGTATAATTTTTAATTACATTTTTATAACCTAAATACAAAATTTTATTGTCATTAGCTCATTTTAAACAACAAATATATTTTTCAATACTTGAAGTGTGGTTTTTATAAAAAAAAATATATTAAAATATTTTTTTATAAAATGGAAGTCATGATAAAATAATAAGTATTCTGACAATTACAGTAATTGTAGTACAAGTTTAAAAGTAATTTTCTATCCTAAACTGGTAATTCTGGATTTTCCCCTGTCTCCAGCTAGATAGAGTCCAATTTGCATTTAATGCTTTGATCACTTTCATTGATTGGCTTATAACCGGCTAATTGCAAATGGGAATCGCACATGTTTAAATCTTTACAACAAAAATAGTATCGCCTACTTCGCGAAATAGATTGATATGCAAGCCACGAGATATGCATTAGACTTTTGATCGAAGTTGACATTGTGCTATATATACAGTAATCGTAAACTGGATTGACCCATTTAGCAGTCAGGGGCAAGACTGAGCTGATATTGAAGCTAGTTGCAGGCATTTTATTATCTTAATCATTTAGTTTATAGCTCAGGTGTTCCAGTTTTAATAAACTCTTTGTTAAAGTAACGGCTTTGATGGATTAATCAGATAGTCACTCCGATGAACATGTATTTTTCACTTTGCTTAAGTATAGTCGTTTGTATAAGTAATTCAATTTGTAAGATCATCAGTTTTAATGCATATCTAAAACATTTAATAAAATATCATATTTTGTATGCGCATAATTATATCTTTTCGTTTTCACGGTAAATAATTTTAATGGTAAACGATTTACCATAGCTGTTGAAATCGTGTTTCTGCTAAGTTCCCAAGACCGAAAAAATATTCATGGAAAAGCTACTATTGTTACAATAATTCTACACTATTTGGCGTCGATAAGATGAGTTTTAAACTAATACTTTTCAAAGTATTAATTTTGATATTAATGCGTTTGATACCACAACTCTAAGTTATAGACTCTTTAATATAGAAATAAAAATGTAAAGTATAGTCTGTAAATTATTTGAACTTTAATCTATACTTGAATTTTAATACGACCTCTGGTATACTTTTTGAGTGAAGGGTGTTTAAAGCTTCGGATTTTCTATTTTTATTTCTTTGGCCTTAGCTTAACAATTGCTTCGTCATCTGTGGCGGCGAGACAATCGCTGCAAAATACTAAAAATGCATAAAAGAGAAAAAATGTAATTTGCATTTAATAGCCAGCTAGTTAATGGTATTGATCATTTTTCATATGACTTGTTTATTTATGCATATCATGTTGGCTCTGAGAATAAAGTGCATTTTTTGTTGTATTTTTAAACCACGTTGTTTTAGATTTTATTCACTTAACAAGCCGGCAGTTAACATGGAATCGATTAGACAGCAGTTGTTTTCGGGATTATTTCTGTTGTTTGCTAATCTGTATACACTAATCGATCGTTTATATGGGTGGACATAACCCGATTAGACTTTAAACTGAATTTTGATGTTTCTTTGTTCTCATTTCTTTTGTTTAGCGATACCAGTTATCAGCTTTCGCAAACCGACTACTGGGATTATTCTCTTATGATTCAACTATACTTTGTTTCTCGGGGCTACAATTTCCGCTTTCAAGTAACAGAAATTAAAAGGCCTCAGTTCAATTCGGTTGGGGCTAGTGAAAGGCCACAAAGTTCAGCCAGATAAAGTGAGTTAATACCCAGTGGAATCACTTTTTGAGGCAGGTGAAGTTGGGGCACATAATCCCAGCTATTAAATTTATATCTCTGGGTGTACAGAGGTAATTATTTTCTTACGTCAGACTTTGATCGACTCTGGTGGAGGTTTCCCCCAATGAAAACATCAGATTCTGCCAAAAGCACATCCGGGAGGTTGGGTTCGTAGTACACTGTTGTGGGTCATAAAAAATAAACAGGGTTCACAATCAAGCTTGCTAAAAGTGGGTTGAGTAGTTATTAGGTCCGATTTTCCTGATTTTAATTAAAACTGAAGATTACAAAATTCCTACTTATTAAAGTTGCGACGACTTTTTTAGTGAGTACTACTGCGGAAAATTTTAGCAGTTTAAGTTAATCATTGCTTGCTTCGTATCTCAAAATGTAATTTTGGTAAAATTTATTACTTTGTTAATTGCTTTATATTTGAATGCAGGTCTATTCTTAAAATACATATGTTTAAAAAAGACAAATCCTATGGAAAAATATTCTTTGTTTGGTAAGCGAGTTTATAAATAAATGACTTCTTACGTTGCCAGAATCACAAGAATCTTGTTTTAGCTTGACTTTCCATAAAAGTATAATTGCTACTGGTTAAACAAGTTTAAAAGACAAAAAAACCCAAAGGATCATTTTCAAGGATGCAAACGATGACCTGGGGTAGATAGTAAAACCAAGGTTCGTAAGAACTGGTTATTGTAAGTTCATTATTTATCGGTTTTCCCTTTTTATAAATTTAATTTAATTTCATTCCTTTAGTTCCATTTCCTTTTCCATTTTTGTATAAACAGAACTATTTAAAGCCAAAGGGTATCATCTTGAAAGTTCATGTTTAGTTCAAGGCAAAAAACAACTCCCTTTTGAACATATATAAAATATTTAGGAACGATAAAAACCGGATTCCACAACTGCTGATTCACAATGAGTCCATATTGGGGTACCCTGAGTGACTAAATTTAAATTCCCTAAATAGAAAAAACGCTAAGAGAATAATATTAAGTCGTTGGTCAAAGATCATTTCCTTGTAATTAACACCCATTCTCTATTTGTTAGATGAGGTGACAATCGCTAAACAGAACTTTGCTTCCCTATTAAATTGCACATTTAGTTTGACTGTGATAAACAAATTAACTTGAACGGAGTGTTAAAACTTTAGCAAATTGCATAAGTTTTTGTGATATTTTTGAAGCCTTATAACATGATATTAACCCTTTTTTTTAAAGCAATTTACTTGACATTTTGCGTGCGGGTAATTGGCAATTACCATTACTCACGAAACCTGTGCGGAATTGTCTCAACATTAAGATTACATTTAGTTGTCGTATTTTATATTTTTTCGCATGTCACGCCCAAATTTTCTGTCACTCATTTTTCTAATCTAATTGGATTTTACAACACCCGAACCCAAGATTGACCAACGAATTAGTATGCGCATAACTTTATGGACTGTTGAACTCCACGCCAAAGACCAAGCCAAACACAAAAGGCCCAAAATAAATAAAGGCATAAATTACCCAAGATTCATTGACGAAATTTCTGGAAGCCAACGCAAATCATAAAACCAGCGACACATTGCCAGAATGACGAGCACCTATGTCCATATGAGGTTTTTCGAGTTTTCGGCTTCAATCTACAATAATATAATCCAACAATCTCCGCTCTTGGCCTTGACTTTTACCTTCATTCGCGTTGACCGCACAAAAAAATCGAATATCAAAAAAAACGTACTAATTGCTTGGAATCATAAGAGCAGCAGTAAATCAGATTTAATGGCCAGCACCGATTCGCACTACTCTGCGGCTCACTCGACCACGTTCTTTGGCTTCTCGACATCGAGTTCGACTTTTGTGTGCCATTGTCAAGTCCTTCATGACAGGGCACATAGATCACCGCCGGCTCACAAGTGCTACGTCATCGAGCCGCGTTTTTCCAATTTTGTTTTGCTAGCCAAGGTGTTGCCAAGTCGTCTGGGACACGTATCAGCTGGTATAGACAGAAAATAAAAATATTTTTTTTAGAAAAAAGAATGTCTGAAGAGCGTAGACCCTAAGAAGACGTCTGGTTTTATATGTTCTGATTTAGTATTAGCAAAAGTACGATGATATCATGTAAACGCATGCAAGCCGATGAAAAATGTTGTTTGGGAATATGTTTTGAAAGATTCTGATCCTCTATGTGTTTTAAAATAGACCAATCCCCACTCAGCAGTTAAAAAAACCAATATATTATTTTGTATACCTTCACAAATACTTAAGTTATACTATTATACTTTTTAATTAAAAAACCTCATGCAAATTGCATCAAATTTAAAACGGAAATATTTAATTCCGTTAAGATATCTGGGGCTCTAAAAATTTTTATACATGACCCAAGAAGTTCAGCAACGCCCTGACCGAATTTCTATAACCTTTGCCGTGAGGGTATCCACTGTTTTTTTGCCGACAGACGCACGTTTTGCGACCAGTTTTGGGCGCTATTGTCTATCAGTCTATCTATATCTATATTTATATTTACCTGTTTGTCCGGCGGCCTCTTCTTCCGTTGTGGCGATTTTTCGGCGACTTTGGCTAATGAAGATCGGCTTTGAGTCATATATACGTATTTGTATCTGCGAGCTCGAATATATTTAACAGTTTCCATTGGAGCGAGGCATTGAACTGTTGCCGCTTTTGCTTTTGGCTTAGCTTTTGTTTTTTGCTTTTCGGTTTTGGCTCAGCTGCGGAAGTAACCCAGTTGTGCCAATCGCTTTGAGGAAATGGTTGCCAAACCACTCAAAATGTTTGAGTCGAGACCAAAACAATATCATTCTCGTTCGCAGCCTGAACCGGTGAACAACTAGCGGCAGTTCGATCACGGAGTCCAGATCTCAGATCTCATATCACATCACATCCACACAATGGGAAAGGCGGAGTGCATTAGCTACGATGAGCAGCAGTTGCCCTACATTGACCTGGGCTCGGCACGGATCCGCATGGAGAAGGATCCAGCTCCGGAATGGGCCCTGAAGAAGGCACAGGACGAGCTGAGGGAGGTGCCCGGTGTCAAGGAGCAGGCCATCAAGGATCTCAGGGAACTTATTCAGAGTAAGTCAAAAATTAAATCTAATTTATTTAAATTTTTTAATAATTATTACTTTACCCAGATGAGAAGTACCTGAACCTGCCGATGGATGATGAGTACATGATGATGTTCCTGCGCCCCACCCATTACTATCCAGAAAGTGCCTTGAAAAGGGTATGTGATACTTGATAAAAAAGAAATGCTAGAATTATGAACTGTAAGGCTTAGAGGCTTTTTTTATACTTTGTAGTTCCGCAGTCAGCAGTCGATATATGTCTTAAAATATTATAGTGCTGAAAATGTGCTGAAAATTCGATTTTTTTTGGATCTAGAAAGGCGTTCAAAAGGTGATGCCTTTGTACCAGATTTTTTGCAGTGATGAATTTGTGGGTCATGCCTATGCTAAGATCATCACCACTTTTCATGCAAATCCACTAGTGAAAAAGCGCTCTGTGATGATCTTTTTGCAGTGATTTACTGCATAAAGAGCGATGAATGGTACCACAGGTTAGCTATAGCGCGGTTTAAAATATATTTAAGAGAATAGGAGATCATAAGTAATCAAATAATAACAAGCATATATAATTGTAAATGATATGTACCATTGCAATGGCATCTAGTTAAGGTATACCTAGGATACTCTATTTTCTTTGTATTCATTTAAGACTTACATTCGTTACATATGTTCCTTAACTATCCGCTTTCATTATGTTTCAATATTGTTCTAAAAAAGTTTTTCTCTTTAATATTTCCAGCTCAAGAACTTTTATCACATGAAACTAAAGTACGGAATCGCTTGTGAGAACATAATCCCCAGCAAGTTGAGAAACGTTTTTGAGGCCAATATTCTGAATTTGCTGCCTCAAAGAGACCAACACGGTCGACGTCTTCTAGTGTTGGAAGCCGGCAGTAAGTTTTACTAATTAAGCCAAATTTGTAAGATATCTAAATGAGCTGTTTCTTATAGAAAAGTGGAAGCCATCCCAAGTGCCCCTGGTGGATTTGTTCCGTGGCATTCAGTTGACTGTTTTGGGTTCCATGGTAGAACCCTATTCACAAATTTGCGGCGCTGTTGTCATTATCGATATGGAGGGTAATAAAGTCTTCCCATTAAATTCCAATTATACAATTTAATTGACCCATATTAACCTTTTTGCAGGTCTGCCACTTAGCCACATTACACAATTTACACCGTCATTTGCCGCCATGATGCTGGATTATATTCAAGAATGCATCTGCATGCGTTTGAAGGCAGTTCACATTGTGAATAATTCATATATATTCAACATGCTCTTTGCCATATTCAAGCCATTCATTCGCGAAAAGCTGCGCAAGAGGGTGAGTTTTCATAAATTATAGAAGTTACAGAATCTTTTCTTATAGTTAATTCGTATTTTTCAGATCTTCTTCCATGGCAAGGACTACAAGTCCCTGATCTCTCACATCGAGGCCAGTGCCTTGCCTCCCAAATACGGTGGTTCTGCCACTTGGGAACTGCCACCTGGTAAACTCCTGGGAGAATTCTTCGAATGCTACTCTAAGGATTACGAACGTAAGTAACTTCTAAAATTTGAAATTAATTTAATATTCTAAATAATTTTTATTTATTTTCCAGTGGCTGACAGCTATGGTTACACTGAGGGCTACAAAATGAAGAAGTAATAGTACAAGAACAACGCCAAACTATCCCCAAGTCCACCAAATCCTCAATTCCCCTTTTCGATTTGTATTTTAGTAACGTAAGTTGGGTCATTTGTGATATTGCAAATATTGTCGTACGTTAAGTCTTAGTCTCTTTGCCCTTAAAATTTAAGGTTCAGAAAAATGTTTACAATAATTCGGAAGCTCATGATTCAAGCTCATGAGCAAAGCATTAAACTTGAAACCATATGTACTAAACATTTTGTAATATTGTTATTAAATAAAAAATATTAAAGCAACTGTTGTTAAAATTAAAAATGGAAGAGTAATGAAAATATGGAAAACGTATACTAAAAAGCTTTCACATTAAATTAGAACACAGATTTGAGAGAGAGATTGGGTGTGTCAACTTATATCTTAAATAAATCTTGGGGGCTTATCATTGGTATTAATCTCCCCAAAATAAATAGATTGCTTTTATAGTTACAGATTTTATTTGACACATATTTATTGGTCAAGAAAACATTTTAATACAAAACATATCTAACAACTAAGGAATGTAAAAAGAGTATTCGTTAGCTAAGCGAAGACAGCCATACACACACATGGTTCGACTTCGGAGGCTATCTAATCTTTGGCATAGGCACGGGAATGCTTGCAAGTTTTAGTTGGGTATTTTAGAGTGTCTCTAAACTATGAACTACGACTAAAGCACTAGGACGGCTTAACTATCTAGATGGCGTGGATGCGATGGTCCTGTTCAATCCTGTTTATTGTCGCTGATGGCTGTGGATGCAGTGGCCACACTTTCACCCGTCTGGGATTTGGTAATAGTTGGCTTCAGGCTTTTTTCGAGTAGCGGCGAACTGTCCGGAGATCCTTTGACGCTCTTTTCGCAGGCCAAAGTAGAGGCCTTTGACTTGAGTTCCTCGGCACTGGAGAATTGGGAGCGACTTTTGTACTGGCCGTTAGTCTTGGTTTGAGTCTTCAGATCGTATCGACGATTCTGACAAGTAGATAATAAATTCTGAACTGGTGCCCAGCAGAGGAGTATTATTCCAATCGCCAAGCAAACTCCGGCGAAGATTTGTCCGGACATCAGGACAACCGGGAGAACCTTCAATTGGTCAGCCATCTCGGGAGTGATTCTCACTTTTTGTTCAAACCATATGAGTGGGAAAAATATCTTAGGTATTCCTGAGTATAGGCTGATTCCCTGGATTGGCTCCACAAGCATGTTGACCTGAAAACGGGCAGCCACCTCCAGGGGAATTCCAGTACTTGGCTCCACCACCATATAGAACTCGTGATCCTTCTGATTAGGACTCATGCCTTCTACCTGTTCGACGTAATATGGATCTCCGTTGAAAAAGTGAGGATAGGACATAAAAACAGGAGATCCAAAGCGACAGGAGCTGATGTTCATCACGCCCGAGGGAACACATTGGCCACCACAAAAACAAAGGTTCTCGGGATACAGGGTGCCTGAAATAAAAGGATCTCTGTGAGTGGGGTTTATCACATATAATAATATATCTACATATATTTACAAGAAAATTATGATTTTCTGTTGTTAGTAACAGATTGTAATACTCGTTTTTAGAATGTTCCTTAATAAATATAAATATTGATTTTAAAACTTGTATAAGGCTTCGAATTATATTATATGTATTTATAATAATAATAATATAATATATTTATAATAATTTATATATAATAGGTAAATCTTGAATTTTTTTTTAACTCTTTTTATAAAAATTAAGATTCAAATCAAATTGATTAAATAATGACTCCCTAAAATCAAATTTCTAATATCTAATAATCTGAATCGGTTATTACAAAAAAATCGTATCCAATCAGGGGTCGCTGAAAAACGCATTTAAAAAAAAAATTCACATAAAATCCGACATCTATAATATGTTTTCAAACCGACTTAAAGCAATACATGTAATCAAAACTCACCATTATCAACAGATCGAGGGCCGCCAGAAAATTTGAGGCCCTGAAGTCCTTCGATATCCACCGTTTCCACATAGTCCAGCGGAATCGTGCGGCACATATCCGGCGTAAAAAGACCAACACTGTCGCCGGGTTTGAGATGCTGTGGCTGGAATTCTCCGGCGGATCCGTTTGTCATGCCGCAATGGGAGCTAAAGAATCCAGTATTTTCCTGGTAATTCCACGCGTGCATCTGACCCAATTTGGACAAATGATCGGCGCCCGTAAATACATTAAATACACCAGTGAGATCGGCGCTTCCGTTGCGCGTATAAAACCAACCGAATTTATCGAATGGCACCTTCACATCGTCGCCGAAAATGGGCATTGCAATAGCCACATCGATCATGGCGTCGTTGTATCCGGTGAAGAGGAGTTCGTCGATTGTTTTTTGGACGGACATTTCGGCATTGTACATCTTGAGGCCAACGTCAACCAAGGAACGCTTAACCGACGTCCAGTGTTTTGCAGTGGCAGCTGCGGACTAAAAACAAATTGGTTATTAGAGGTAACTAAATTATTTTCTTTTGCCTTAGAGTGTTTAGAGTGAAATCCTAAAGATTGTGCTAAAGATTTTGGTTAAAGATCTACTTTATTTTAAATTGAGAATATTTATAGAGATCTTCCATGACTCGGTTATTAGTTAAATAATTTAATATAATAAATTAAAATTAAAAAAAAAAACTTAAAACAATAATTATGGCTTTTGTTATTAGAAATGAGATAAGGTTAGAACAGTTTATTTGGGACTGAATTAAGTTTATACAATATATTAACCATTTCTAAATACAAACTCGTAATACCCTAGTCAAAAATTTAATTTAAAATTTTTTGAGAGTAATTTAAGAATTAACTTTGTTTAAAAAACTGTGTAAAGGATTTGATTTTCCTTTAAACAATGATATTAGAATTGTTTTTGAAACCTTTGAACATATTTTTAAATAGCCCTTTGATTTAAAAATATTAAATATATAATAGTTTTTTTACCATCAGCCATTAGGTTTGGACATGGTTTTCAGTTTTATATATTAGGTACCCACCAGAGCCACCGCATTGAGGGTGGTAATCTCATCGTCCAGACTTCCGTTACTGCCCTCCGCATCAAAGTAGAACAAGCTGCGTCGGCGGTAGCTTACGGATGCGTTTTCGGGATGCCAGTGGATGTCCACCTTATCGGGCCGCTCTGTGAATCGATAGGGACCCAGCTGCTCGAACCGCGGCTTCTTCTCCGACCCTAAATAGAAGTCCTCGGGATTCGTCCAGTTGTATAGGTAGATGTCCAGACTCAGATCCATCGGTGGACTCTTCCAGTTGTCGTAGACACGTGTGTCGGGGGCCAGAGCCATTTCCTGCCGAAGAGCACAAGTACCAATTAGAATTAATTGAAAATCTCAACGAGTTTTCCTCGATCTCTGACTCGGACCAATTGAGAGGCGGCTGCTTTTCTTTGGCTCTCAATTGGCTTTAGCCGCTAATCGAATGCAGCTGGCCGGGCTAACACATAGGGCTGAACTGGGATTACCTTCTGCATGATCCAATCGAACAGGTCCACCCAGAACATTCCGCACAATATGCCAAATAGTCCCAGACAGAAGCCGAAAACGCCGATAATTAACTTGCGATTGCTTTTTTGGCCCCACATTGCGCTGTTTTGTGTTGGCATGGCTCACGCTGGGCAGCTGTGGGGATATCTAATGGCCCCTGTAATGATATGCAAGATAATAATACAGTAAGGGAAGGGAATTGGACAAATTAACAGACTACTAGAATAAATAGCATATAAACATAGATCAAATGGGTGCCATTCATAAATGCAGTAAAAAAGTATACAAACTAAATATTTGAGATAGTCTTTAATAGTTTAAGATTTTTTGTTTGTTTTTTGAATTATTTAAAAATGTATTTTTATTATATGAGTTTTTTTTTTTAATGAACTTAGATTAAAATATTAAAAAGATTATTATTAATTATTTTTTTTAAGATTTTTATGTTTGGTATAATCATGATACCAAGATCACTTTTTTTAAAAGGCTTTGTTAAATACATGTTGCCTACTTTTTGGCCTTACAAGTAAGAGATCAAACAACTAATATGTAAAATCAAATCTCGTATTTACAATGTATTAAAACTCATATTAATGTAATATAACGAACAAAGAAAGGCCCAACAAAGAATCGAACAGAGAGAAAATGCAAAAACGCAACACGTTATTGAGTGACGAATTCCCATAGTGTCTATTTTTATCAATATAATTGAATCAATTTAAGCAAAGCGTGACTCTCAATTGCTGTTTACACTCATGTAGAATATTACTATAGCCCGGTAAATATATACAGAAGTATTGTCAAGCCCGTATCAGTGGTGATAATTACAAAGCTTCACCCGACACCCTACGATGATGTTTTTTAATTAGTTATGATAGTTTTGAGCTTCGCTCTAAGCTATATGTGCAATAGGTGATTATCAAATGAAATTACAAGTAACACGTATAACGGTGGACTATGTAATCGGGTGAGAAATATGTGATCTTTGATTTAATATCACATGACAAATATTGAAAAGGGAGAATCAGTATTTAAATTTTAAAAGGGAAAGCCATTTTCCGCACGTCTGGGGTTTTTACTGTGGCCCGATAAGGGGATTGTGAACTCCTAGGTGAACAGACCCATGAGGAAGCCACAGATAATTGAGGAAATTGAACTGCACTGCACTTATCGCTTATCGAGAACCCATCCCCTGACAATTATTCGACCAATCTGGCCAGAGTTCCCATCACCATGTATTTTTTCAGCATAAATATTGCATATGTACATATGCGACCGGTTGGCATCTCTGTGATATATCGTCATAATTGAGTCTATCAATTGACCCCGCTGTGAGCTATGGTTGGGTCTTTGACACTTTACGTTATTGCACATGAATACGAACACGAATCTATATATATACCCATTTATATATGCTTATTCGGGAGCGTGTCAGCTGAGTTCTGGTGTCTGGTAAATTGATATGATTATGTCTTTTGAATGATGAATGCCTGTCGAGCATTTGTCGGCGCCTTTTTATTGTCTTCACAATTGTTCTGGAGTGAGTTTTAATTGGAATGGACGTTGGACAGGTGCATCCCAAAGATTTCATCCCGCATATTTTACTTAATTCAATTAGATCAACAACAACTCTAAATATCTTTAATATTTGGCTTAAAAAAAGCAATTTCATCTTTACATACACAAAAAAATTATTCTTTTTAAGTATGTTGAATAATAAATCATTCCCTCAGTGCACAACAGGTTTCTTGAAAATTTCCATTCAAGCCTTAAGCCTCAACACTGAATAATTGTCTTTAATTAAGTTTAAAATTTTCTGCTGCCCGAGATATTTCATTCATTATTAAATTAAGCAAACTCGTGCCTTTCTCTCTGGTTCTTGATCTTTTATATTAGCATTTTTATGATTCCACTGATCGCTTTATTCATATTCTATGCAAATAAGCTGGGACCATTGAACTTCGAAGTTAAGTCACTGGGAAAGTGAATATATTTTGCAACGATTTGTGAAGATTTCCATAAAAATGCTAACTGAAAAGGGCAAGCAAATTAGAAATGTAGTAAAGTGTGTAAAGTGTTCGATAAGCTAACACTTAATTAGTGCAAGTGCACTTGTTATAAGTCGGAAGTCTTGAGGGTTAGTTACGTGACACGTTAAGATCGTCTTTTTAATGTAAACCAAATCAGCACCTTCTCAATTTTCTCTGCTGTTCTCCAACAGCTTTTGACCACATAACTTGCCATTGAGATGAAACCGCAAGTCACAGATTCGACGCAGTTCGTAAAGCTAAAACCGCGTCATGTAAACAGTCATCTAATTTGCATTTGCTCGGGTGAGTTCTTTGATAATGAGCTATCGGCATGTAACTGAATTTTCGCAGCCTTCAGTACGGAAATACTCGAATGATTATAACCCAAGCCAAAAACTATAAATAAAGATTTTGTGTGTTGGTAATTTGCAAACAGTGTGTCGTCCCATTGGGCGTGCGAATCCAAAAATAAGTTTGATATTTTAAAAGGTATACGCAAGCTTTATGTACTTTAGTTTTTCAATTCAGTAGAATTTGAATTCGTTCTAAAATTGTTTTCCATTAGTAAAGAGCTTGCTGAGTCACTGAAGTTGTTTTGAGCCCTTTTGACTTCTTAATTGATTGATTGTTTGAATTCTTAACTAAAACATTATTGCAAATTCCAATGGACTTAGTGGCTAACAAATTCAGTTTCCATAAACTTGAAATATATTTAAACGGGGCGTATGAGTAATTTGCCGTGGAACAGCTGTTTGTATTGAGGATTCACAAATTTGTTGAATATATTGATTATTCAATTAGCAAGTAGCACGAAGATTCATGAGAAACTTCTTCGGTTATGAAAAAGCTTCGCAGACAACAAAGAAAATATAAATACATATTTTTAAAATTAAAAAAATATTTACCTTTGAATTAACGTATTTTTTTATACATGCAAATAGTGAGCAATTAATTCAAGTTCTAGTCAATGGATTTTGAGCAGCTGTTTGTTTAAAGATTACCCAAAGAAACTAATGTTTTGTCTTTAAAATATAGAAATACCTATTAACAAATATAAATAATTATTAACAATAAACTATAAAGTCAGCCAGGGTGACACGAACTCTTCAATAAACATTCCTTGGTTTATAAAAGTACACGCAACTGCAATTAGTTTCATAAAGTTAACTTTTAATTGACTTGAACTTTAAATGATCAACAGGTCGTACATGAGATTCGTTTTCAAAACGTCAACTTTTTAAATAAATAATATTTTTGTAATATATTTTTTTGTGCATTCTAAAATTACTTAGGTATAATTTGTTCAGAAAGCTTTTAAAAGTAACTAAAAACTCGAAAAATTTTTGAATATAGCAACCTTTTCAAATACATTCTTTTATCAAGACTCAAGAAATTATTTCATTGACGAGTTCTATTTAAATAAATGCATTGCAGTTTATTTTTTCTGGAAAATTCTTTATCGCGAGGTCTTCTTTACAATGCAAACCATGAACTTAGTTTATTTGATATATTTTTATTTTAAAGAAGGCTCTAAAACACTCTACTTTATTTTGAAAGCCAATTAAATAAATTGATTGCGCACAAAAGAAGTACAACTGCTAAGGATTATTCTTGGGCTCAACTTAGTCAACGGGTCGTATGCTTAATATTTTCTTGAGCAGCTGTTTCCACTAAGGGTTGTCAAGTCGCCCGACTAATTTTAGAACATTAATCACACAATCAACAGGTCGTCCGGTAGCCGAAGCTGAAAGCCCTTTGTTTTGCATTCCGGCACTCTTATTTCTTCAAAGAGAAACGCCACACAAAGCCAATATAAACACAAAAAGAATGTATAATATGGGTTGACACTACATATACATATATACATATACATCTATATTATGTCTGGCGACTGTTTTTCATTCTTTTCAAGTTGATTTCATTTAATGGTCTGTAATCTTAATAAGTCTGCCGGCGATTAAGCCAAATCAAGCCAAAACTAAATGAGTTGGCCAGTGGGGAAATGCAAAGAAATTGCGTGATATTCGTGATATTTACAAAGGAGTTCCCTCCAGGTTTTCCAAATTTCCTTTGTTTTTCTTTAAAGGCACTCACTTGACTGTTATTTGCTAAATAGAAACAAATCACGGTTTTGTTTTTCAATTTGAATTTTTTTCGTGGTTTGGGTTATCCTTGCAAGGCAATTGAAATTCGATAAGGATATGGAAACACGACTTGAGCACGCGGAGGATTACTTTACACAGAGGCCGGAAAAATGGACGCGAAAGTCCCGAGAAAGGTCCGTAGAATGGTACCGCTTTGCCCGGCGGCTTCGATGCGACTGTGCGGCGGACTCTCGGCGAACGGACCGCGAGCAGCGTCGCCGGAGAGCGGCGGGAGCGGAGCGGGGCGGGGCGGGGGCAGAGCGGAGCGGTCTCTGCGTTGCGGCCGATGAATGTCAGTCAAGTGCGGCACATGGAAAGGGAAATGGAAATGGGCTTGAGAAGAGCTCCGAGTATCCGAGAAATGGTGTGTGTGCGAGTGTGCGAGTGGGTGTTTGGGTTAATTTGCGCTTCAGGCTTTCCATAGTTTTGTCATTGAATTTTGAATTAAACTATATGTAATCTGAAACGCGAGCATGACTTCTAAACTGTAAAGTGCATCTGGGAGCAGGAGTGATCCAAAACAACAGTGTCACAATTTCTGTCGAAAATTAAAAAAAAAGATATAATTAAAATAAGTTTAATCCACTCATCGTAAATACTAAACATAGATACTGTTAAAATACAAAAAAAAATCCTTAGACTCCTTATCATTGTTATGATTATTTTTGATAATTCAGAAATTCTTTTAATAATAATATTAATAATATTCTAAAGTTTAAAAGTTATATATAGCATGTAAAAAAATATTATTATTCCAGTATTAAATATCGAAAGTATTATAAACTATACCTCAACAAAATGTAGGGCAATTTTTAACAACAAATTTTAAAAATGTTTTTGGTTTATTATACTATTAAAAACCAAGGAAATAAGTGCACACCCGTTTACTTTTAATCAAAATACCGATAAGGAAGTGCTATCACATTATATGGATTTTGATAAAGCGATGTAACACCTTAAAAAATGAAAAACTATATTCTAAACAACTTAAAACATAGTTATAAATGTTTTAAGAATATAACTCATGCGAGCTTATAAAATGCAGATTAAACTAGGTCACATTAGGCAAAATCACAATCTGCGAATGGGAAATCTAATGCACTTGGGTTTTCGTAAGTCGAACGGATTTTCGCATATGAAACGGGTGGCGTGTGGAAAAGTAAACAAATCGTAAAGCAGAAACCGAAATTGATAACAAATTGTCGAAGCCTTATCAATGCGGCTAATCGAGATGATTAGCACTGGGTGAACAGAGCGCCAAACATGCACGACTAACCTCATACACTTGTAAGCTGCGTAAATCGGCAGGCGATCCATTCGAAAAAAGTTTCAACTGGCTTTATTTTGCCTGTCATTGGGCCAAAAACTTCCCGGACAATAAGCATGAAAAAACCTCCCACGGAGCTGGCTGAGGTAATAAACCAACCAGATGTCGTTGCTTCAGTGCGTATTCAGGCTGACTTCCTTTATTGGATTAGTGTTCTGCCGCCTTTCACATGGCGTGCGCACTAGGATTAGCGTTTAGTTGGGTCAGGGGTCAGTTACCGCTGCAGATTGTGTTGCAATGTTTACAAGTGGATCAAGCGGAAGTGGGTCAACTCATCCCTTAACTTCGAATTGGGTCTCGGGCAACAATGGCCATTCCACTGAATTTCAAACAGTTTTTGTCAGTCAGCAAAGATGGTGACATGGCAACCAGCTTTATGGCGTTCATTGGTTAACGTTACGATTACGTTAAAAAACTGCAACGTAACAAACCTGTTTCGGACTTTGTGTTTGAATTTCGTATTTATTCCCCTAAAGAAAGAAGTAGATCCGAAATTCAGAAAGAACGTCCAAAACTCCAAAGGAAAGGTCTAAAACTGAATGAAATTTAAAATACTCCGAATATAATATGCAAAATTTAAAAAGTAGCATCGAAACTTGAGAAGAAAGTTCCGAAACTAAGATATACAATTTGCAAAGGAACCAAAAATAAAAATAATTTATGTTATATTATTATAATTCATTTAATGGTATTGAAGCATAACACTGTGTTGGTTAGCAGAAAAGTCCTTTCAAAAAGGGCCAGAAACTCAGAAAGAATGCAAGAAACTCCAAAAGGAACGGGTAAAGCTGAATGAAAGAAGAAAAACTCCGAATAAAATATGCCAAATTTAGAAGTTCCTCCGAAACTCCAAAAAAAGGTCAGAAACTTGAAAAAAGTTCCAAAATGAAGAAATACAATTTCGAAACTTAAACGAAGGTTCAAAGGAATCAAAAATATAAATTATCTACATCATATTATTATAGTATATTTAATGGTCTTGAAGAATAAAACTGTGTTGATAATATTTTAGAGCTTTTTTGAATGTTTTTTGAACAGTGACATATAAAACATAAAAAATGTGCAATACAAAAGCCATTTATAAATCGCCAAGATGAATAGAATGAGGTTGATTTGTTGAATTGGAGCTGGTATCATCCATATGGTGCGTAAATCGAAACTGGATGAGGATAATGAGGTAGCAAGTAGCAGCGCCTGAAATCTGAAAAATAATATTAATAAACAAATTCTATAATTTATTAATTATCAACCCACGGTAAATATCAGTGTACGATCCAGACGAAAAAGTCCTGCGGCTGTGAAAAGAACTTTTCTATGCGACAACTGTAATGAGAGTCGGAAAAGTCGATCTCTAAGCTCGGGATCATCGGTAATATTCAGAATCTTGTGAACTATAGCGGCAGTATAACTACTGTGCAAAATAGTACGGCTGCTGCCCTCGACGATCAGAACGATAATCACTATGTACCAAATAAGCTGCATCAGGAAAAATGCGAAGAATTCGTCAGCCTCAAAAACATCCAATCGTTTGGGATTCAGAATAGCCTCCAAAATGTAAAAGTCATCGAAGAGAATGAACAGGAACGATATGGCGATGATTCCCAGCAACGGATATGTGAAGTACTCCTCGATGGTCTGGCAAATATCGCAGAGGAGATTGTGGATGTTGGACACCTGTTTGATCGCGTATTCCGGGTTGAGGCGTATAACGGAGGTAACACTGTACCGCTTCATCGGGGTGCTGATTAAATTTCGCAGGCGATGTGAGTAGCGCCTGTGATTGTCAATCGAATGCATTGGGGAAAGCTCCAAGGCGCTATTTTGCTCTATATGGGCATCTAGAATATCCTGGAGGATCTGTCAAAGAAGTAATAATATTGTTTTTTACTTATAAAGTGTATAAATTACATTTTAATATATCCCTTTAACAATTAACATCGTTGGGAAAATATATAACTTGATATATTGCTATATATGGGTATCTAGAATATCCTGAAGGATCTGACAAGAGGTAAAAATAATTATTTACACACTGATAAAAAAAACAACAAAAATTAATATCTGCATATTGAAATCAAAATTTCGTATTTAATATTTAAGCAAAATCCAAAAATTAATACTAAATGCCAAACGCATTTAATGGAATCATTTAATACGATAAAATATTATTAGATATGAGCACTAAAATATGTTTTACACGACTTAGCGATAAAGTTTCTGTGATATTAAGAATAATATTCAAAAAACAGTGTAGGAAAACCAAATCGAAAATTTTGTAATCCAGATGAAATAAGTGGACTTTCTCATTTTTTTATTAGTGCAGGTGACAAGATCCAAAATTTACAAAAGTTATATTTACTTCATTTTGAGTGTAATTATTGCATCAACACCATGCCTTTTTGATTATTTTCTCCTCAAAGTATTCATATACATTTTTGAATAAACATTTCACAAGTGAACAGTTCAATTAATAAATATCCTTTTCAACTTTTCCAATAACATATTGTCTCTATTTTTTATTAGAAAAACGGGATTAAAATCCCTCGACACTCACTTCGTTCAACATGCTAAACCGACTCCTCGCCAAGTCCGTGGTGCAAAGAAACTTGAAGACCATCAGGCTGATGTTGATGTGCGGCAGGGCGAAGGTCGTGAAAGTCACAAAGGAGGGCGATATGGTGGCGCTCACCAAGAGGCTATAGCTCACACACAAGTATATGACGTTGAAGAGCAGCATGCCGAAGGATATCAGGAAACTGGACAGTAGGATCCTTCGGTAGTCCAACTTCATGCCCAGCCGCACAAATATCTCGTCCACCACGATGTTGTTCTGGATAATGCTGACCAATCTCTGCCGTTTAAACATGGCGAAGCCAAAAATGGTGGACATGGCCAGAATGCCTGTCAAACGCAGGGTTCCATCGCCCAATCGGGTAATATTCGTTTGAAAGAAGTAACCAATGATGGAATCACCCTCCTTCACCGAGATACCAAAACACAGGACGAAGAACAGAAAGTGCACAATACCGGCGATGAAGGAAAACTTGGATGTTTGCACCTCCTTTCGGGGATTGAGGTTCAATTTAAATGGAGCCAGTCCCAAGAGCGAAATAAATGTCAGGGGTCGCAGGGCCTGAAACACATTGTCCGCCTGCGAAAAGCGCTCCCACAACTTAAAGGCCATTGATAAGCCTTATAGGTAATATTTTTGTAAATTCCGCTAAAGGTGTAACGTCCGCTCGATTCGCGTATTTTCCGCCAACTGACAGCGGAAGTCTACGGCGACTCATGATGATGATTGCCATTGTGTCAACTCGAGTCACGACTGATATATCGTATATCAAAATCGTTAAAGGGCTGTCGCACACCTTCGCACACGTAATAAGCTAATATCAATAAAGGCAAATATTTAATTACCTTCAACGAGAGGTAGGGACCTAGGTGGTCAAGGCCATTTACAAGAGTTCAACGGAATTCCCGGTACGTCCAATTTTCGTAAACTTTATGTCCAATTCACTGGTTATTCATTACAATTGGCAAACAATTTATAGCGACCATAAAAAGACCACGCAAAAAGTGGGCATTTAGAACGCCCAATTCTTTTGAAGGTACAAATTATTAATTAGTTGATGGACAGAAACAAAATTTTTTTTATATCTTACTTGTTGCTTATCATAAGGTAAAACCCTTAGGAACGTTTACTCGACCGCTTACTAATTTACAATATTTTGAAGCCTAAAAAAAATACAATTTCTAGTTTTGACCGTATAAAAACCATTACAAATTTATTTTAAAGATTTGCTTTAAATGTATTTGCTTTTTAATTAGGAAAACTATTTATTTTTTAGTGTTTTGCCAAAGTT